CTGCGTGTGAATTATTGTTGTCTTATTGAGGTCTCTTAATCGGAGCAATCTTGTATGAAGAAGCACCGATATTGCTACATTATTCGAATGTTTTGGAGTAATGATTTTTTTAGAAGGAAGTAGGTCAACAGAATCCTTAAATGAGGAATGTTCAGCAGATTTTTTTGTTTGAATTTTCTCAAGATTTTTACGACAATGTTTTTATCAACACAATATCAACAGTGTTATTTCTAGTCTCTAGTAGATTTATTTATGAGAGTGTATATTATAAAAATCTCTACATAAAATTGAAAAAAAAAACTGTACGTTAAGCTTATTTTTTAAATTAAAGATATTATTATTACACGGATTTGTTATCGAACATAAGAAAATATTTAAATTTCACCCTTCTTGAGTTATATTCAAACACGATTTCCTCTTATAAATTTCTTATCCTCCTATTAATTTTGATCCAGAAACACTCACTGTCATATGAACAGCACCTTTTTAATTATCCTCTAAATTGGTTGAGTTGTACGAAAGCTTGAATGAAGCACGGGTCCTCTCATCATACATGTTTATTACTACACACTACACTACACTACTACTACATATATACCGTTATGAAAATACCCGCAAGATACAAATAGATTTTTAAGATCTTAGAAGCGTTTTCTAGGCCTCACGTAAGAATATGATTGACACAAACCCTCTTACAGATCGGATTCGATATTGTTTTGATATAAAACGACAGACCTGCGGCGTGCGCGTTTGTATAACATAAGTTATTCCAACTGAACACAATTACTGCTTACGAACGCGTGTGCCCTGTCTGAATCATACGGATAAATGTAGTCTTATGGAATTTTAAGTCTGTGTAGCCCCTAGCTATTACAGAGTCTTTTAAGATTTCTCTTGACAAGTAAATTGTGCAGAGAAGAACACATTCCAAGCTATGCCAAATGCCGATACTACTTACTTGCAGGCTAAATAACAGCACTGGTCTTTAAAAAGTGAAAAGAATAAATAAATAAATACCTATACATGTGTATTACACGGTCTCTAAATAATTGATTTAAAACCAGCTTTTATCTATAAAATATAACATTTCTTGATCAGTAAAAAACATTTACGTTTTGGTGTTGTAATATAATGCATAACAAAGATTAGAGTAACAATTAAGACACTTAAGCCATTTCTAATGCCATTCTGGAATGGAACTTTGTCACTTTATAGAATTTGATAGACTGCAAACAGAAGGTGGTCAAAGAAAGACAAAGCCGCTTGACGCTCTGTAAATACAATAACTTCAACAAAGTCGAACAATATCACTTGACTTTAGTTTCCACCTTTGTTTACTTTCTTAAATACACATACATATCTATAGTATCTGGTGTAATCTACATTAAATGTATATAAAATTGAGTTTTTACTTTCCTTGTGTTTTTAATAGTGATTGCTTTAAATTGACTTTTTTCTTTTTAGTCTTATTTGTGAGGACGAGTATATTGCCTCCATAAGACCAAGGTTCAATTTATAATACGAAATCAGTCTGACAGTTAATTCAAAGACAAATATATTAAAAACAATAACTTTAAAGAAAATCATATTACTTTAGTTGTGATTTAATAATATAACAAAACATATTTTTTTAGTATAAAATGAGTTGGTTTTATCATGAAGGCGTAATAATATAATATATTCACTTTACACAGCAAATTAAAAAACAACAAACATTTATTATCAGCCAGTAACATCTGCCAATCAAATACATTATACAACAGAGTACAAAAGTTCCCTTCAACACGGGTAAATTAGGCTAAGACCAAAAACAAATATACCTTGATTGAGTCGCTGAATACCGGTTATGGCAACGATTAAATGTAGGGGAGAGATTTAATTTGGAAAACCATTATCTTGGCCATAGGGACGGATTCGAAGGGCGCAGAGAATGGTCAGTTAATTGTGCCATAAATCACAGAATCCAACTGCCCGTATGCCCGATCCATTATTGCTTGCATATAGTTCCGCTGTCAGACTACAGATGGGGTCATTGTCGCCTCCATCTTTGTTTATATTTTTTTAATAGCAGTAAATTGTGCAAAACCGGTTATCTTGACTTTATACTGTCATCGTATATTACGCGCCATTCATTTTTTTCATTATTTTGTTTGGTCTCGTGCCGCGCCGTTTACTAGAAAGAATATGATGGTTCATATTATTCAACTCTATAAAATATTACCAGTTCATAAGAATATAATTATATTTAGTTCATTAAGTAGATTTCTCTTACGTACGTATATAGGAGTGTTCGTCTCATTTCGTCTTCATCGTCAGTTTACATCAGGTGAATTGGTAGAAAAACGATAATCACTCATTACTCAACAAAATTATAATAAAGTTAAAATAAAAAAGAACATAAAACTTTGTAATGTAGTACTCTTACTGTTTTTGCCATAAGGAGCAATTTATGTACAAGAATAAAATCAGCGTTCTTTGTCAATATAAAATCTACAAAACAATCGTAAAAAATTCCTCGTACAATTTACCTTAACTTATGTCCGTAACCGAACCATTCTTCACGCTTTATCAGTCTTACGTTAAGCCATACTCACACAAAACCACATAACGCGTTCATAGTACGTTAGAACAAACACAACAAAACTCACTTGTACTACTGCAGCAATAATAATAATGAACACTTTTAAATATACATTTCTTAAGACTGCCTGTCATAAAACGCAACATTTTCTTTTTTAATTAATGCAAATGCAGCACATTGGTAATGCCTACTTTATTTCTCCAAAAGGCAACGAGAGCGACAAACTGTTACAAAGTTTGGCTAATTTAGTCTTATACACAAGGTCGTAGAATAAATAAAAAAAAATGTGATGTTTTGTGCTGCCTTATAGTGAAAGGAGTTTCAATGTAAAATTAAAGGACGAATGTTCTTGTATAGCAAAAACTTAGAACTTGCATAAGTCTTGCCGTGTATGAAGTTCCTTCCATTTCTGGGGCAAGGTAAAGTAGAAAATGTTTTAATTAGACGTAGAATGTGACAGCATCGTCTTGCTTGTCACCCAAAAAAGTTAATTAGCTGTTTTTGCTACATGAAGGCACTATCCTCGTAAATTCTATTTTCATTATAATTTTTGCAGGTATCAAAAAAAGGAAGAGCTTTATTCTCCTACTTCTGATGTGACAATTCAGAAGAAGCTCTAGAATGCCAATTGAAATGAACCTTTTTAAGTTCTCAAACATTAATGAGTTTTTACAATCTCTAGTTGTCAGTCACGGCCTGGCCACAGCACTGTCGGAGCTGAGTGTTCGTTTTGCGTACCCCACGGAACATTTTATTTAAGGAAAGATGGGGGAAGGAGATGGAATTACTAGTTACAACACAGTTGTCACAACTCACAAATAGGCATCGGTAATCAGCGGCCTATTTACTCCAAAAATGTCGCGCTCAGTGCGACAGTCTAGCTAGTCGCTTTTCAAAGAATCGCAATCGGCCAATTATTTGTTTGCTTATTTTCGATTGTTTTTAAAGGAATTTCAGAGTTTGTCTAATTAAGATTACACAGTACTTTAAAATCACAGTTTCTAAAATCCACTATTTACATAATTTGGGGTGAATTGGCGGAACAATAACAGCGCCAGTACCCGACTGAGTATTTATTTTATTAAATTTATGTAGGTTTATGTATGCATATGTGTTTTTATATTGTGTATGTTTCTGGACCTAAATTATGTTAAATTTAATATTTTATTTTGCACCTACCACATCATATTTCTACATCACTTGAAGGTTGACTGGGAGAGAATGCCTAATAGCATTAAGTCCTCCTTTGTACAATATGTGCATTAAGCTTAAAATAAAAAATAAATAATTAAGTACCTTTCTCAACGACTTGCTGTATCACAAAAATAAATAAAATAATATCTAAGAATATTGTATAAGTCACAAAGGAATTGTATTTATTCTTTAGTTTTTTGTTTTGCATAGTAAAATCCTCAATGTTTTAACTTCCTCGTTTATTATGTAATTTACATGGCAATTTTCTTGTGGCCCCAAGGCAAGGCGCCAAATTTTGAAAAATACGCCACTGCCACCAAAGTTCCAAAAATAAGCAATCTGTGTGCTTCTTTGCCAATTTATTGTTATAAAAACATAACTTTACTACTTCATATAGAAATTAACAAAAATGTATCTTCATTTATAATATTACTTAGTTGGAGAAAGTGAACATTCGCGTATATTGGTCACAACGTAATCAAATTTATTCTATTTCTTATTCACAAAAGCAACAAAGAATTTTTGCCGTGTTCCCAGAGCGGCGATTTATGATAGCTTCACGTCACGCTTCAAGCTAAGTTTATTCTCAAAAAAGAAAAAGGAAAATCTTTGCATAAGTTAATTCTCAGATGGACGTTCGCAGTAACGAACGCTATTGTCGAGAATTCTATTATAGACCTTCATATTCACAATAACCTTTAATACTTTCGTATAAAAATTTAAAACATGACAATGATTGATAATGGTGCAAAAACTATAAGACGATACAAAGTTGTTTATTGGTTTATTTAGTTTCTTGTTGGTCAGTAATCAATCAAGGATTTTATTTACTCTCTTTGGTTAAGTGGGCTCATCAACTAAGTGTCATGTAAGATTGGCAACTTGGTTCGGATACAATGACTCTTTGCTAGCAGTCAAAGCTAAAGCTCAGAAACCTATAACTCCTGAAGTGACTAGTGAAGCTTGGTTGAACTCTCTTACATATTATCTAAATTAAATTGCCTCAAAATAATCAGTTCCTTTGTTTTTGTACATGAATACATTTAAATTACCTAATATTGATTATTATATAATATATAAAATCTAAAAATATAAAACAATAAACAATTCATTCCAGCGTCGCGACTCCATCTAGTGTAAAATAGGTAAATTACTGTCAGTGCCATCTACAGTAAATTTTCAAAACTATCAACTTAAGAATAATGTTTTCCTATTTGTTCGCTAGGCGGCAGCACGTGTCGGCGCCGTGGAGCTCCACAACAACGTCGACAGGTGGCGCTCGCGCTCAACACGAACTATTCGAGCTTCTTGAAAGAGTACAATGTTCTCGGTTAGATGACCAGAGGGCGGTACTGCCGCCATATTTTTCTCAACATACTCAGGTAAGTTAGTTATATTTCTATATATATTTTTCAATATTGTTGTTAAATATAACTTATTACTTTCAAATAATGTAAAAGTAGTAACTAACAAATTTCCTGTAACGTATTAGCCTGTCACATCTAGGACAAAAAGTTATTAAGAACACAAAATAAAACCTTTTTTCCTAAATGACTTCTGACTTTATGGAAAGTTCAAAACATTCGGAACCATAAAAATCGCAGCAATCAATCGAGTCCATTATCCGTAGAACGCTGCATGGGTCATTAGAATATCAAGGGTCACTGGTCAACCAGTTCGTTCCCTCGTAAGAAATAATAGACGGAAACAACATAATTACTATGAAGCGATAAAGAAGGCAGACAACCGGATAGCATAGAGGGGTGAGAAGCAGACCATGTCGGAGATAAAACACTGGGTGACGCTCGTGGTTACGAGTATAAGGCCTGAAGAAAAAATCACACTCATACTCGTATGCACTCGTACTTTCTATAATGTTTGAAATTTATTTTATATTGTGGTGGAGGTGCCAGTCTCATTTTCATTTAAAGTATTTTCATAATTATTTTATAACTTTAGAGTACTGAAGAAACATGTGACAGAGCGTTAATATAATACGATTTGTAAATGAATTATCAGACACTTAAATAGTGATCAATATAGAGTACACATCAATTAAAATATTATATTATTTCTCTTTTCAAAAGATTCACCTTCAACGGCTAGCTGACCAGAAACTAGCTGAAATTGAAACCTTAATCATACTATGATTATTATCTGCACTTTGATAATAAATAATGTGTTGTACAAACCTACATTGCTAGCGGGTTTACCGCTTAAAATACTTTAAGTATTGCCAACTAAATCTTACTAATATATAAAGGCACAAGTATGGATGTATGTTACTCACAATGTATGCTGCACAGATCTGGATGAAATTCGGCACAGAGTATTCGGCATGTAGTGTTCAGTGGGATGAGCAAGGTACAACAACAACGGTGGGTATTTGTACCCTCTGCATTTAGTACTAAATATATTTAATCTACATTTTGAGCCTCCAACTAGCGACCCGCTAATCTTTTCCACTGTTTCAATTAACTAAATATTTAAACAAACCGTCTCAATATTTCTTCCCCCGCGATTACCATATCTGCTGCATATTTATGAGGGCCAAACCTTCCTTGCTGGCTATTATATCAAACATTTTTTGTAATTATACTTTTAAAATTTTCTTGTCTGAATGGTAATCTCAACGGTTACGTCACAGTAAATGTCAAAAATAACTTCTGTTTCCTAGTACCGAATTTATTTATTCATCGGTAGATATCATCTAAACTGGGTACCTAGCAGATTAGAACCTAAGATCCTTTCTTCTAATCCGCGTCTTAAAACACAATAAGAAAAAAAAAATTTACTAATTGGAAGAAGTCTAGATCAAAGTCTAGGTCATATAAATTCTAAAATATTCTATACTTTTGTTGGTTATTCCTTTACTTCTAATTAACACCTTTAAGTGCAAGTGAGAAGTTTAATACATAGCTTCATCTTTGTTTGAAAAAAAGTCAATTATGAATTAAATCCGAGAAATTGATAAGGACTAAATATAGCAGTAACATACGTCTCATTGTAAAATAGGAAACCGCATTTGCATACCTTCAAACATTCCTACCTTGTTAAAGTATGCTCCCGGGATTAGTTTAAATAAAACTTGTTTGGATATGTTGTAAATAATGTCACCGCAACGGAAACATGCATTAGTTTAACTCAATCCTTTAGTAATATTTCGAAGAAGGGATTTTTAGAGCATGAAAAAGGCGCGCTATGTTTACGAGTTAGCAAGATTATTTTAAACGACACGTTTTCGAAATGCCTGAACATGAAGTTCGAATTATAATTATAACTCAAAAATATTATTACTAAATTTTTCTAAGTTTAAACGTACAACCAAACAGATATTGACTACTTTTTCGCAACTTGTCACTAGGTGATGTCATTTTGGTAGGTAGTGGTATTAATTGAGGACGATTCCCGTCTTTGTATGTATTAATAATACCTAAACAAATTGGTACCTAAGTCAAACGTCGAATTGTTGTCGTTGTGCACTGGAATTTTTCAAGCGATAAACTTATAATTTTTTTAACGAATAAATACCTAAACCTGACATATGATAGATTCATGGGTATATTATTTTATTATTTCAATTTATCTTTACAGCCTTTTATTTAACTTACAATTAAACTTTAAAACGTTTAAAGAGTTATGATTAACCGTTTTCGCTGAAATTTTGCACACGCGTTTAGTTTGGATGACAATAAATGAATTAAAAATAATAAAAGAAAAACAATACAATAAACAATGTTATATAACATTATATTATTTTAAAAATAAATACCTATAAATACTCTTTAAAATGTTTTTGAATACAAAACCTTTTTAAGAATTTGGCTTGCTCACAGCGATGCACAAGCACGCATGACAACAAAAGTTATTTTTACACCTTAAGCGCTCATATAAAAATAAATATCTCTGGGAAACTAAATATTTCAAAAAAGGTCATTACACTAATTAAACGAGGAACAAAATGATGTTATCTAAAAACTTGTTTGTATTGTCGGACTGTGAGATGTAAATGGGTTACAAATATTTGTAATAGAGTACCTAATGGATGTTATTCTCTTATTGATAATAGCTGAATGTAAGTGTTTTGGTTTGTTACCCGACTGTGACAGAAGGAGGTTTAAGTGTTTCTAGTGTATTTAAATGTACGTGTGTATGTATATTTTTTGGCTACCTCTGTAGGCGAATGGAGTCCTAAAAAGTCTGACAACGGTCTCCCTCGCCCTCGGTTAAGGAATCGTTACGCTACCCGTAACGAATGGAGTCCTAAAAAGTCTGACAACGGTCTATCTACAGAACTTCGATATCATCTTGGGTAGTGGAAGTCTGATGGCAGTCGTTTCGCATAAAAAATCGAAGTTAAGCCGTATCATAGTAGACTTAAAGCCGACTCAACTTAGTTCGGGAAAAAGGCTCGGAGGAAGAAAGAAGGGGTCGTTAGATTGGTCTTAATTGAGAAAGTGACACTGAGTAGGTATATGAAAATTAAAATCGTCTGTTTGAACATTTTAAGAACCTATACATTTTCAGGCAGTCGGGTTTTTGTTTTTATTTTAAATTAGCTCATTAAGAATAGACTCAGTGTGTTTTATAAAGTTGAGGTTAAATAATACGACTATGAATGTTACCTAATTACAAAATAGTTATTGCAAATCTGAATTAAAAACTGTTTCTACTTGCGGCTTTCAATTAACTTGTGGAAATAAGCACATGGCTAAACATATGCAATAGTGTTAGCTGTAGGTATAGGTGGGTAGGTAGTACAGGCTAAAAATTCTATTCGAAGTCAAATAAGAATTGTAATTATTCTACGTAATTCTAAGGGTGTTGTGGATTAGGAAATCAATTACCATTCAACAATATCTCTATTAACAACCACATCAAATGTCTACGTAGAGGAAAAAATGAGAGTCAATGAGAAGTGAATAGAGGCTAGTTTCTCTTTAAGGAGGTCGTGACCCACGTATGACCAGGTTAGATTATCATAGGGCCTCTGCAGTGCAACCTTTTTGGGCCCGGCGCCTACTATTGGCACGGCATGACAAGGGATCCTCCGGCAAACCTACGCCCAGACGTACACTAAGTGCAATTATTGAGAAGGAGTTCTCAAGCGTCGTGGCAAGGTGTGCTTGGGAATACCCAGAAGTTGTGCTTTGGAATGCCGAGAGTTCTCAGGCTTGGGGAAGTGTGCTTAAGAATGCCGAGGAGTTCTCAGGCATGCCGAGGTCTGCTTAGGAATGCCACCGCAATAGCCTGGTCTCTAGCTTAATTTAGAACAGTGGCAACGTTAAAAGCGAGCAGTCAGCAGTTCATGTTAGATTGAGACCTAGTGCTCTTGATAGCTGATGATGATGCTCCTAGTGGTGCGGACGATTCCTAGTCTTGAGTATATGTCCCGAAAACTGCCGAAACTAGCCAAAGGGTTGCTTCGGCGTCTTTAGGTTTGCCTTGGCTTCTGAAAACTGCCTATGTATGCCTTACGCTGCCAAAGACTTCGGAGGTATACCGAGGTGTCCTTAGGTATGCCTTACGGTGCTGAAGTCTGCCGAGGTATACCGAGGTGTGCCTTGACACTTCACAGTCTTGACCTGCCATTCCGTGTCGATAGTAGCCGCCGGGCCCAAAATAATATTAAAGTACTTACTAATATAAAAATATGATTTAATTAACAAGCAGGACCGTTTACAATGTTTTTTTAAATGAATAAGTACGCCCCTAATTACAATCTGAAAATAAGGGTGCATGTACAAGGTTTCCCAACGATGATACAGCCACCATTAATCATTTAAAGAACATATTTACTAAACGAGTGCAATCGTTACGAGTTGATAGTCAATAGTGGTTTAATTATAATTACCACGTTTCCTGTTTACTGGGAATCGTTCCTAATTTCATTACATTATGTGTCGTAGAAGTAAAGATATAGTTATCACAGTATTTATGAAGGTACTCGTTTGATGTAAACTTGTAAGTATTTTTCTTGGTTTCACGATGTATTTTGTATCAAATGGATGAAACTTCTTAGTGAAATCAATCAATTATCTTATACTGTCGCGTTCCATAATATATATTTTTCACGCTAGGTAAGTGCATACCTTTATCGTTGTAAAAGGCTGACATCGATTGAAGTTTAAAAGGAATAGCTGCTACACTTAAATAAATATCAGTACAAATTCACAAAAATGTTTTTTGGAACGAAGTTCCTTATCGCGCGTTGTGAAAGGGGGCTAGACGGAAAAAAACTCACGAAAAGTTGTAACGACACTTTTTATGTCAGTCATTCAGCGCCATCTATCGAATAGATAGGAAATCATTACTTTTCATCTCAGTATTTATTTTGAATTGTTACTTGTCAGTCATTCAGCGCCATCTATCGAATAGATAGGAAATCATTTCTCAAGGAGATTTTACCAATGTATAAATTGTTTTAATTAGAAACCAACTGAAAAATATGTAGGTAATAGCCGCTTTCATAGATGGCGTTGTAATTAAAATCTTGTCGAATCAGTTTTACTTGATCGTCACAATTTCGTTCCTATCGGGTGTCCCACGACACCACACGGCTTTTTTTCATTATATAGGGGGCAAACGAGCAGGCGGATCACCTGATGGAAAGTGAAAACCGCCACCCATGAACGCCTGCAACTCAGGAGCCAAAACCACGTTGTCGGCCTTTAAAGAAGGAGTTTTTTTTAAGGTTCGTATCGGTCGGGAAATACCGCAGGCGACAATTTCTTCCACATATTGGTGTACCTGCGTATG